AACTAAACGATCTTTAACAACAAACTAAACGATCTTTAACAACAAACTAAACGATCTTTAACAACAAACTAAGCGATCTTTAACAACAAACTAAACGATCTTTAACAACAAACTAAACGATCTTTAACAACAAACTAAACGGTCTTTAACAACAAACTAAACGATCTTTAACAACAAACTAAGCGATCTTTAACAACAAACTAAACGATCTTTAACAACAAACTAAGCGATCTTTATCAACAAACTAAACGATCTTTAACAACAAACTAAACGATCTTTAACAACAAACTAAACGATCTTTAACAACAAACTAAACGATCTTTAACAACAAACTAAACGGTCTTTAACAACAAACTAAGCGATCTTTAACAACAAACTAAGCGATCTTTAAGAACAATTTAAGTGATCTTTTAGAACCACATTTTTTAGAGACCCGCTTTCAAAAAAATAATATTTTGCATTAATTTCCCCTCCTCCCCCCCCACCCCCCAATTTCTGCCAAATTTTCTCCTACCATACAAATTTACGTTATATATATGAGAATGGGGGAAACGGGCCGGCGAATTTACACTAAACTTTTCTGTCATGTAGCGGACCGCAAAATATCGTCTTGCGGGTCACAAATGGCTCGCTGGCCGCGAGTTTGAGAACCCTAAATTAGATTTTTATTTATTAATATTTACGATTATCTCATTTTTATAAAAAGAATGTAAATATTTATATTTTCCCACATCATTTTCGATGTAAGCAGAATGTAGGCGGGAAAAAAATTTCAAAATATCTTAATATTTCATTTTCGGTTTCGGCTTCGGTTTCGGCCGAAATTCATTTTTAACTTTCGGCTTTTCTTCGGTTTCGGCCGAAAGTCATTTTTAAACTTTCGGCCTTTTTTCGGTTTCGGCGGAAAGTCATTTTAAACTTTCGGCCTATTTTCGGCTTCGGCCGAAATCAGAAAATCACTTTCGGTCGGTCTCTAGTAGCAAGCCAAGTTCCGTACTTCTCATTCTCCTTTGCTTTCGTTGTTTGGTCTGATGATGAAGGATTTCAGACCAAATGTTCATTAGTTTGTTCTGTATTTTCATTCTTGGATTTTAGGAGGGCGTCCGTTTGTTGAGCGGATCTCTTGTTGTGGAAAGCACCCCCCCACACACACACACTTCATTTTAAAACGGGGTTATTACTTTAACGTCCAAGGTGAAGTTATTCAGGAAGAACAGTAAGTTAAGACAATAGTACAAAATTACAACCGCACAAAATTACGTCTACACAAAAATTACAACTACACAAAAATTACAACTAAAAAATATATCTAAAATCTAAAATACAAAATTCTTTTTTTCCAAGAACGTTTATCTATTAACATCATGTTTGTTTAATGCTCGAAGACTATCATGATATTCTCAAATATTTAGTTATATCTCGGTTGGGGAAGATTTTTACCAGTAGTTAGTTTGGAAATATTAACACGTAGAAAAACTCAAAACTAAAACAATCAAAACACAACATGGAAAATAAACATATCTTAAACAATAGAATAACTCTTCTAAACAGTTGGCCTGTATGTTGTAATGCTGTCCTGCTTATTATAAACAGTTGGCCTGTATGTTGTAATGCTGTCCTGCTTATTATAAACAGTTGGCCTGTATGTTGTAATGCTGTCCTGCTTATTATAAACAGTTGGCCTGTATGTTGTAATGCTGTCCTGCTTATTATAAACAGTTGGCCTGTATGTTGTAATGCTGTCCTGCTTATTATAAACAGTTGGCCTGTATGTTGTAATGCTGTCCTGCTTATTATAAACAGTTGGCCTGTATGTTGTAATGCT